ACACAGATTCCTGCTAAAAAACCCACTGTTCCTCAGGATTTTGTAAATAACCAAACACGTAATGTACCAGCACCAACCTTGGGATTCTCACTATAGCTTTGCTGTCCCACCAAGCCTCTCTTTCCACCGTATCCAACACACACACACACACACACACACACACACACACACACACACCGGGCCTCAATAAATCACAAATCAGAAATACTTTCAGTTTCTCCAACATATCTCATTCCTCTATTCATTCAACAAATATTTGTGGAGTGCTTAATACATGCCAGGCGCCACGAATGCCAAAGATGACCAAAACAAGTAAAAATTCCTATGCTTTCTGAGGCAAAATAGAAAATAACTAAGCAAAATGTGTGATCTGTTACAATATGGCCATTTCTAAAACAAAAAATCAGACCAAACAGAGAAGACAGAGATAAAGTATCACTCGCTTCAGGTCTCCACACACTACTACTTCTGCCCATTTTTAACCAAATGCACTATCACTTAGTATATTTTGCCCAAGTATATGCATACACTCCCTCGGTCCACTCTGACTCATTTGTCCTCTGGGTCTCATCTTGGGCATCTTTTCTTCCTTGAAACCTTCTTTGTCTCAAAAGATCCAGCTTCCTTGTGTCTCCTCCACAACCTTAGGGTTCTCTTCCCTTATGGCCAGGTGTACTAATCAAAATTGCCATTGCCTGGTTAGAAGCTCATGTCTCAGGAGGACAGCAAGTCTCTGGCATGCATTTGTTCTTTTTCAGTGTCCAGCACATGGCTGGTGTTAGTGAACATTCCATTGCTTCTCCCGCTAATTGTCATGTAAACTGCAGGATGGGTTGGAGTAATTTTAAAATTCTTTATAGTGATCTTCCTTGCACCCTGCAACTAACAAATGCTACCTGATATTTTATTTTTGGAGTTATCTGGTTATCTATGAAAATGTAATAAAGAAGAACCAATTGCCACCATAACTTCAAAATATCTTTGCCTTGAATGAAAGTCTAAGGATTTCACAACAGAGAATCCCACATTTTGCTTCTATCAGATATTGGTCCAAAATTCAAATCTTGTTTTTTTTCAATTAACAATCTTTTCAACTTTTAAACATTAGAGTGTAGGCTTTGTTTGGTATCCATTGGATAAGTACTTACTTCTTTACCTGGCCATGTGGCTTATACACAGAGATGACTAGGAAACATTTTTTTTTATTTTAACAGTGGTCACGGCTAGCAGCAATCTCCAAGCATCAGAGATGTGTGCTCTTGGGAATGCATGAAGACTTTCTGAACAGCCTTTAGGCATTAACAGTGTGCAGAATCTGTGTTTGGGCCTTTATGTTGTCCTGCCTGGAATGGGCCAGCAAGGCAATCAAGTCAAAGTTGTACATCTTCAGCCACCTTACACAGTCACCCTTTTCCACTTTACAGAAGACGGCCACTTACTTTTTCTGAGTCAGAAGTATTAAAAGCTGTCTCCTGTAACTGAGACCCCACCCCCACTGGTCTCCTTAAATGACTGCCAATAACTTTGATTATTCTGCCTAATTTTTTCCAGATTTGTGCAATACTCCAGTCTTTTTAAAGGCTAGTTAGTTATTAATAACAATTACATGATAAACTCAATCTCAAAAATTATTTAACTCTTGTAGGTCCAAATTAGGGAAATCTGTTAAATTAGAATTTCAGCTTATAGGCCGATTTTTGGTGCAGAGAAATATGATGACACTATAATAAAAGACTTTATAGATATAAACATACGGCATTAAACTAAAATTCCAGGGGCTGAGGAGATGGCCTAGTGGGTAAGAACACTTGCTGTGTGAGCATAATGACCTGAGTTTGAATCCCTAGAATCTATGTGAAAAGACAGTTGTGGCAAAACATACCTGTAACCCTAGCACTGAGGGTAGGAAGGAGGCTGAGATGGGAGGCTCTCTAGGACTTGCTGACTACCAGCCTAGCTCCAGGTTCAAAGAGAAAGTCTCAAGGGAATATGACAGAGAGTAATAAAGGTGGATATCACTGTCCTTTTCTAGCCTCTCCATGGGTGCAAGATGGGCACACACATACATATGCAGGCAATATCACACACACACACACACACACACACACACACACACACACAATCAGTAATTAAATAAATAATAAAATCCTATGAGGAATGGAATTAAAACAAAAGCTCCAGGGCTGGCGGTGTAGCTCAGAAGTAGAGAATATGCCTAGTTTGCCATGTGGGAGGTCCTGGGTTCTAATCCCGTAACCAAGAAAGAAAAGAAAATAGCAGTTACAGGGGTACATCTTTGATTTGAAACTTCTGACTTAAATAATACTTTATTCATGTGCCTTTTTTCAAGGAGAAATGAAGGGGCATTAAAAGTAAATGGTATTTAGATTCCCTGAATACATTTAATATGCAAAGACATGGTGTTAAAATGCTAATGTTTACAAATAAGCAAGACATAACTTAATGACTTTTTCGTCTTTAGACATCAATTCTGAAAAGTAAGGGCAAAATTAAGTCTAACTGTTGGTATTTGTGAGCTTATTGAGTTCTGGCTTCTGGGAGCTTAGATACGGCAACACAGAGGAAATTCTTGGGGGGCAACAGGAAGCATATACATGGTCCAGGTATTTATACTGGCAGGTGTGACTCAAAGATACTCCTTAGCCACTCACTAAGTGGGTGCCAGCCTCACACCCAGGGGGAGGAAGCTGAGTGTTCATTATACCTGAGTTAAGAACATCCAAGGGCTAAGTGAGGATTAAATAAGGTTAAATAAAGTGCTTGGTCCAAAGACGGAACTTGGTGTGCAACCTCTCTTCTCTGCCCTTCTTACTCCCTTGAAGCCAGTGCAGTAGCCCTGGTTCCAACACCACTCTGACCAAACTCTTGCTTGTGTAAGACTCTTTACCCATGAGTCCATTTGCAATCCCAGACACCAAGTGTGCTCCCTGTCTGCTCAGTGTCCTCTCATTTCCTTGAAACTCCCATCCAAATATGCTTTCACCAGCAAACTTCCCAAGAATCCACAGATTCTGTCTGCAGGAAGATCACTAATGAAGACGTCAAGTCAGACTGGCATAGGGAACAGTGCCTACAGCCATCCCTCTGACACTTTTATTCCACTCAACAGAGATGTAGTGTCATTTGTCATTAGGTCTTGTTACACTTTTTGGCCCCTTGAACAACTCATGTGAAGTAGCTCCTGTCTCTATCTGCCTGAATGAGTCTGTCAAGTGAACTCATGAATGACTGAATTAAATGTCACTGCTGGATTGAACATCTGTCACATCCCGCTAACCTATCTCTCTCTATGCTCATAAATCGTCACAATCAGGACAAATTAGTCTAGCATGTGACTTCCAACAAACATTTTCTTGTGTTGAGTGTGGCTCAAGCCCAAAAGGAAATAACAGACCAGTGGATGAAAGCAATAAAGTTTCATCACTGGTTCAAACATGGTCAAGTGGTAAATAAAAGTCAAGCGACTGCTTGGCAAGAGAGAGGCAAACGCAGTATAACAGTCTCTCCAAGTATGGGTTTAAGGCATTCCTCAAGAAGCTCATCACAACAGAGTCCTAGGGAGATTTAAGAAGCAAGGAGAGATGTGGTTTTAGGGGACCCTGAATTGTGTAACTCTTTACATTCTATAAAAAAAAAAAAAGTTGACGGTTGCCAGGCAGTGGTGGTACACATCTTTAATCCCAGCACTGGGGAGGCTGATCCAGGATGATGGATAGTTAGAGGCCAGCCTGGGCTAGATGTTAAGTCCAAGGACAACCTGTAAATTCTGTGACTCCTATTTCAGAAAAAACCAAAAACAGAAAAACTTACACTAACAGTAAGTACAAGGAAGAAGCTAAACACAATAGACATTCCCCAGAAGTGAAACTGTCAAGATAACTGAACAAGGAAGCAACTATAGTCTGTGATTCCATTTCCCAGACTTCACCAAATGTCAGTATTCTGGGGGCCAAGATGTCTCCTTAACAGTGGTACTTAAACTTTAGTGCACATAAAAAAATTGTCACTAGGGTCTACAGAGATGGCTCAGCAGGTAAGAGCTCATACTGTCTTTGGAGGACACAAGTTAGGTTCCTAGCACTCGAGTCCAGTGGTTTACAACCACCTGTAATTCCAGCTCCAGGCGACCCAATGCACTCTTCTGACCTCCAAGGGTACTTCATGTGCACATATGTATAGTTAAAAATAAAATCAATTTTAAAAAGAAATACCAATGGGTGGTAGTGGTGCACACCTTTAATCCCAAGGAGGCAGAAGCAGGCAGGTCTCTGTGAGTTTGAGGCCAGCCTGGTCAATAGAGCAAATTCCAGGACAGGCTCCAAAGCAATACAGAGAAACCCTGTCTCAAAAAAAACAAGAGAAAGAGAAAAGGAGAGAGGGAGAGAGAGGGAAGGAAGGAAAGAAAGAAAGAAAGAAAGAAAGAAAGAAAGAAAGAAAGAAAGAAAGAAAGAAAGAAAGAAAGAAGAAAGAAAAAGAAAGACCACTTGCCTAATAATCAAAACAATATCAAGTGGGACTTAGAATTCTGAATGTGCTGCCAATAGCCATGGGAGTCAGAGTATAGAAAGTTCTTATCATCTATGGTCAGCAGGGCAAATTAGACCTCTGCTCAGTTTGGTCAGTCAGTCTTGGATGATGTGGTGACTGTAATGCCCTAACAGCATTGCTGCTTGTTTTAACTGCTTCAATTTATTCTTCTACATGCAGGGTCACCTAAGTGAGCAGTGGGAAGCAGGGACAGGGGTTCATGTTATTTGGAACATAATTAGTCAACCTAGACTCAGGGCCCCCAAAGGACAGTACACGCCCAACCATCACTACAGCCTGAAGGCAAAGCCATCATCCTTATACTTGGTTTTCTTTTCTGGTCAGACTCTGGCTGGAAAGAAAATCCTGGCTAGCCCCAAGGTGTGTTCAGCTGTGAAAGATCATTATCCTAGCTCTGGTCTCCTTTATAGCTTTTGTTTTCTTTCTTCTAGAATATGTCTGTACTGGAGAATCACCACTGGCGATCTACAATTGGCATGCTTCGGGAATCAAGGCTTCTTGCTCACTTGCCAAAGGAAATGACGTAAGTGCTGTCGAGATGAAACAGACTGATGTGCACACAGTAAAGATAAGTCACGTTCTCCAGGGCATGCTGGAACTCCTGTGTCAGTAGCAGGGAGCCAGTTGTTGGTTGCCTGCCCTCCCTTGATTGTCCAGCAAGAGATTCAGTGTCAGGTACCACAACCCAAAAACCAGAATATCTCTGTGCACTTTGAAAGGGTCTCAGATGGTCTATGACCTAAAGTGGGGGTGGGGGCAATAATATACAGCTCTCTGCTTTCACACTCTTCAGCCACAAGGCTCTGCACTGCCAAATTCCTGTCCCTTATGTTAGCAAACCGTCCTCCCGTTTAGATACAACGAATAAATATTTGTCAAGAAAGAACATAGGAATTCGAAAGCTAGATTAAGGACTTGTCCAGTAACGTGTGTTTTGTCTTTGCCAATCTTGGGAGAAAGGAGGAGTGAGAAATACTTTGTTAAGTTGTGTGTAACTCATGCCTATATCTTTAGTAGTGTGAAAGCTGAGGCAGAAGGACCACTGGAGAACTGAGGGCAGCCTGGGCTACAAAGAAAAACTCCACTCCAAAAACTACATAAATAAAACAAAATAAATTCAATGGATTTGTTCATTGAATTACCCTCAGTCCTTTTTTTTTTTTTTGCTTGTTTGTTTGTTTCTTTTTCTTTTTTTCATTGATTCGATTAATGTCTTTTGGGTTTTTGTTGTTTGCTGTTTTTGTCCGTTTTTTTGTTTTGTTTTGTTTTGTTTTTTGTTTTTTGTTTTTTTTTTCCCCAAGACAGGGTTTCCCTGCATAGCCCTGACTGTCCTGGAACTTACTCTGTAAATCTGGCTGGCCTAGAACTCAGGGATCCTCCTGCCTCTGCTTCCCAAGTGCTGGAATTAAAGATGTGCACTACCACACCCAGCTGTCTTTTGCATTTTAAGCAGAAAATATTAATTTTCATAGTCTACTGTTTGTCAGTTTCTGAATCTTACTCATTTTCTGCATGGCCCCAACTTAGCCAATACACTATTTTACAAAACCACCACAAATTCTGATCTCTTTCATGAAAATGTGGAGGACCCAAGGGTGTTAGGTGAGTGGCAAAAATTGATTATTGTGAGTGTCTTATGAACATGTGGGAACTTGAGGTCCAGGTCAGAGTAGTGTGTATGCCATAGGACAGTTGTAACAGACTTTCTTGGCCACCAGCCACCAAATCATGACACAGAGACTTATTATTAGTTATGAATGCTTGGCCTTACCTTATGCTCGTCCCACCAACTCTTATGACTTAATTTAACCTGTTTCTCTTTATCTACATTTTGCCTTGGGGCTTTTTACCTTTCTTTCATTCTGTATGTCCTACTTTTTCTGTTTCTTCCATGTCTGGCTGGATGGCAGCTGCCTGGCTGGCTCCAGGCATATCCCTCTCTTTCTCCCTGTTTTCTCTTCTCCAGAGCCTAGACTCTTTCTCCTACTTATTCTCTCTACCTGCCAGCCCCACCTATCCCTTTACTGCCTAGCTATTGGCTGTTCAGCTTTTTATTAGACCAAGCAAGGTAAAACAAATGCAAAATATCTTTACATAGTTAAACAAATGCAGCACAAACAAATGTAACACACCTTTACATAGTCAAAGTAATATTCTGCAACATAAACAAATATAACACATCTTTACATAGTTAAAAAAACAGCATAAATAAATGTAACACATCTTTACAGAGTTAAAGTAACATTCCTCAACAGACGGGAAGTATGTTCTGCACTGAGTTGTGTGCTGCCATAAGACAGGCAGCATGCTCTGGGCTTGTAAGGTTTTTTCCTGGACCTCTGATACCATTTCATACAGCTATGGAAGGAATGTTCAACTTGCAGAAGGAACTGAACTCTTGATAACTTTTTAACCCTCTGGAAATAAAAGCAGCATCCCACACACACACACACACACACACACAAAAAAAAAAAAAAAAAAAAAAAACAGAAAGGAAGGAGGGCAAGAAAAGAATATAATGAGGTGATAAATGGGAATGAAGGAACAAAGGACCCAGTATGACCACACTTTTCCCAAAACAGTCCCACTAGTCCTTCTTGCTGCTCCAGTGAGGGTCCTCAAACTCCAGCTCACTCCTATGCATTGCAATAAAAATGCCACTTATTTCTGTGCCACAGTATCTCTGTGAGATACTCTATTATAAATGCTGCCTCTGGAAGCATTATTATTATTACACAATAATAATTGTGAACGGACATCATAACAAAAGTTACATTCATCATTATTAGTTTTTCTACCCTCAAGGAAGTTATTTAAAGTTATTTTTCTGACCTTCGAAAGCCAGATATGTTAAATGCAGAAACTATGTAAGGCTAAGAAAAGTAATCATTTGAACCATAATGAAGTTGTCATGTTTGAAGAGCAAAACAGTCGACAGAATACAAACAGGTCCATATAGTTCAAAGAAGAAAAACAAAAGTACTGGTGACCCCGTCAGTGAGGAATAGTCATCGTTAACCTATCAGCTATATTTCCCTTCAGTATTTTTAGTACAACCATATTTTAACAAAATGCAAGACACATGTGCAGGTTTCATGTGTTGTTCTTTTTACGTTTGGGGATTTTTTGTTTTGTTTGTATGTGTGTGCCCCATATACATTGGGGTCCCCTCAGAGGCCGGAAGAGGGTTACTGGAGCTGGAATTACAGGCACTTGTGAGCCATCCAACGTGGGTGCTAGGAACAAAACTCAGGTCCTCTGCAAGAGCGGCAAGTGCACTTTACCACTGAGCATCTCTCCATCCCTTCTGTTCAGATTGTTTTAAAGCAGGCTCTCACTCTGTAACCCACTCAAATCCACATCAATTCTCTTGCCTCCTTCTCTCTAGTGATGAGATTATAGCATTGGTCACCACATCTGGCTTATATTAGTTTTTATCCTAACAGTGTTCAATTTCTATAAAGGTTTTCTTCTACATCATCCAATGTGTGACTTAAAGTTACTGTGTTGACTATTTGTCAATATTGTATCCAAGTAATGTATTTATTCACTATTGGTTGGAAATTGGGTGGTTTCAAAATTATTTCATTATAAACAATATTTTTGTTTTTATAATAAAAGTAAAATAAAAGGGCAACATAAAACTAGTGTTACATTATATTTGAGACATTATTATATCAATATCTATCTGATGAAAGTAGTTATAAAGTAGTTCTCAGTGATTTCTCAAGGTGCCCATTTAGGTGTTTTGATTCTACTTTTACTTGTAGTTTGTTTGAAAATATTTGCCCACATCTGACATCTGTGGGTGCTGCCAAAAACATGGATAAGGCATGATTTTGAAGTGAAGGATTTTTGTCTCTGGGAAAACAGGACTTATTAAAGTGTAGTAAAGAAGTGTTATCAAATCTTTCTTTAAATTGAATGCCAGATTACATACAGCTCCATGCATTCCATTTGAAAAAATGGCATGTGAAATATTTATCATCCAAAAATGGAATTGTAGATATACCAAAATATTATTTTCCCAGAAATCTTGAAATCTAAAATGTATATATTCTTCCAAAACTATGATACTCTGAATAAAGGTTCTTGTTACATGTCATCATATTGTTTTTCCAAGAAGTATGCTTACCTATGTTGCCATTGATGACATTAATGAATTACAAGAAAATCTGCCAATGAACTATCTCCCAAATCTTTTATTGTATTTTTAAGTATTTGGAAGTTTTCACATATACGTGTGCGCACACACACACACACACACACACAATGAGAACATGAAAGAGCTTCTCATTCAGTCACCATGAACCATTTACTTAAGCTGACATTGAAAATTTTTATTTATTTGTTAATCACTGCTATTTATTTTAGAGATCATATTTTAGCTCTTTTCCCATTTTCATCACTGTTATTCATTTGTAAGACCTTATGTTGTGTATAGTAACCTTTTTATATAGTGTAAATATTACTTGAAGTTCTTAATTTGTCTTTCAATTTGACTCAGGAAACAATTCTAATTATAATGCTATCTTTCTGGCTATAAACTTAGTAACTACTCATTTTTAAATGCATATAAAATTGAAAAATATAAAGAAAAGGGAAGTCAATCATAATTCTACTTTACATATAACTTACTCTCTAATACCACAGAGATCACACTTTACATTCATTGCATCCTATTTTTATGCAATAAAACATAACATTTTTACATATCAATAAATATACTATTTAACAGTTGCATGGCATGAATGAGGCAGTTATAATCCCCTACTCATGAATTCTTTTCCTCCCTAAGATGTTTTCTTAATATAAGTAATAAAATAAGCTTCTTTATATCACATATATTCCTAGTTATAGCCTTGCTAACATGTTAATATAAATTTGTAGATGAGCTTTAATCACCTCGTTTCCACTGTCAAATGATTTTTACACTAATTTCTCAGTTACTCCATAGGCCCACTGCACTAATTTATAACTTGTAAATATGCACCCAAGATAATCTTCTGTACCTGTGTAACTGGAAATACAGAAGCATGTTTATTGAGCATTTTTACAGTAGTTAAAAACTAGAAGCAACTGAATTGACCATCAAAAATAGATACATTAGAGTATATTATTATAATGGGATATAATATAATATAATGATGAAATTATGTACTAGAGCCTACATCTCAACACAGATGAGTCTCAAACATAATTTCAAGCCAAAAAGACAAGACTTTAGCCAGACATAGTGGCATGCTATTGAAATTCCAGCATTTGGGAGGTGGAGTCAGAAGTACAACAAGATCAAGGTCAGCCTCACTAAATAGTAAGTTAAGGCCTTACCTGGACTATGTGAAACCCTGTCTCAAAACAACAACAACAGAGGCAACATGCTCTAGTCAATAACCCTATACCCACGTACAAACTGGCAGCACCAACTGGACTCAAGTTAACCAAAACAGAGGAACATGAAAATTGAGGGGAAGGTAGGTCAGTTGAAGGGATCTGGGAAGAGCTGAAGGGGAAGGACTAGGGGAGGATTTGGTGAAAACATATTGTACACATGTATGAAATTCTCAAAGAATAAAAATATGGTTAAAAATAAATAGTACAACGCCTACCACAAAAGGGGATAGAGGCAAGTTGTATATAATATATATATATATATATATATATATATTACATACTGTATATTATAATACAATATATTATACTATATACGATATCTAATATAATGTATATAATATATACCATATAACAAAGTTTGAAAGTGGCTAAAATTAAAGCATCTTATTAAACATGTATGGTGGCAAAATTATTGCAAGTAGACAAAAAAAACAATAAAATAAAGAGCAAGGGGGTGGTTGCAGCATACTTGTTGGAGAAGAAGGGCATGGTAGAGGCAGTGGGATCACCCAGGACACTGGCAATGTTCTTTGACTGGGTGGTGATGATAAAGTTATCTTGACTCATTAAATGGCACAGTCATTCTCTATAAATCCTGCTTCAACATATCTCATTACTAAAGGTCGACCTTAAATAGTCACTGATCAGTCCTCCTCCTCCTGATTTACTTCAGCATGAGAAGCAAAGCTCTAACCTGCACTGCTTTGTGAAATGTCCCATTTCTTCTGTTTAACCTGTACACTCATGTGTCTCTTGCCTGTTGGTTTATAATGATGTCTTAATGACCTAGTTTTGCATTTAAATTCTACTCTCTCTTTCTGGCCTGTCTATTTTGTGTTGTTACTCATTCCATCCCATAGTGCCATCACCATTACCTTCCAAATTATGACCAGTAGGCTGGAAAGATGACTCATTGGTTAACAGCCCTTACTGTTCGTCCAGAGGACAGGAGTTCAGTTCCCAGCACCCACATCAGGCAGCTCACAAACACCTGTGACTTCAGCTCCAGGGAATCCAAAGCTATCTTCCAACCACTGTGGGTACTGTCATACATGTGGCGACACACATACACATAGTAAGAAATAGACATACATATTTTTGAACCTTAAGACTGCTGCTACCACCTTTTCTTTCTCCATGAACATCTTATTGTTTGAGCTACTTTAAACTCTCAAAAGGCACAACCCAAACTCCTATGATTTTTCCAAGTCTTTTTATGTCCCCCTTAAAGCATGCTTTTCTTTTACTCTTTCAAATTTCCCCCCATGGCAACCATGGGAATGTGTAATGAACAGAACTTCATTCACCTAAGATTTCAGTCTCTCTGTGTAGCTCTGACACACTTCTGTCCAAGGACAGAAGACTCGCTCTCAGGCTGTGAGGGACAGGGTGGTGTGTCATAAACAAATTAAAGGCTAAAATGGCAAGCCACATGATGGTGAGAGAATCAGCCATCCTGAGTGAGATTTGCTTTGTGAGTGTGTGTTTCTCTTTTGTTCTTGTGGATGCAGACAGGATATTGAACAGCAGCTGGGATCCCTGATCTTGGCCACAGACATCAACAGACAGAATGAGTTTCTCACCCGCCTAAAAGCTCACCTGCACAATAAAGACTTGAGACTGGAGAATGTACAGGACAGACACTTTATGCTTCAGGTAAGCAACAAAAGCCATCTGCCTGGCCAAGTGACAACACTTAAGGATGAAATCGATGATTTTAGCACATTTGAAAAGATGCTATAATGTATGGTAAAGCTAGAGTAGTGACCTACTTTATTAAAAGCTTGGAAAGATATGCAGCTGTTAAGTGCTTTCCAAACAAGCAAAATCAAGGTTTCAGAAAGTGGAAAGTCTTATTTTTCCTTGCTTGGTAGTTGCCTCATCACAAAATAACCTCGATGGAAGTTTTCGTGTATCAGTAAGAGTATAAACCTTTGTCTTAGTTAATTTTCTATTGCTGTAAGGAGATACCATTGACCAAGTACATTTATGGAAGAAAACATTTCATTGGAGGTTTGGTTCCTATTTCAGAGAGCGATTCCATGAAATTGTGGCAGGGAGCCTGGCAACATTCACAAAGACGGTGCTGGAGCAATAGCTGAGAGCTTACATGCTGAGAAAACAGCAGCAAGGCAAAGAGAGAGAAAGAGCTAAATGGCAATGGCATGGACTTTTGAAACCTCAAAGCCCATCCCTAGTGACACACCTCCTCCAACAAAGCCACACCTCCTAATCCTTCCCAAGCAATTCCACCACTGGAAACCAAGCATTCCATTATATGAGCCCATGGGGGCCATGCTCATTCAAACCACTGCACCTTTGTATAGATGTGGACCCTAAGCTTACCTAGACAGACCAACTTAACTCAGAAACAGAACCATAGTCACTTTGTTCCAAGCCTTCACATTGTAGCTACCTAGAGTACTCCATCCATACCCAGGAGGTACCCTACTTCCAATTGTAGGACTATTCTCCTCACTTCTTTCTAAGCCAGTATTCTGTTACCTAAGTGCTCAAAGATTAGTACCCAAGTACTCAAAGATGAGCCAGATTGACTTAAGTAACTCAGACAAACTTGTAACTGAAAAATATTTGACCCTGCATTGCAAAAGAAAGTCTTGCTAACTCAAAGGAATCTTTAAAATCCTTAACAGGACCTCTGTGCCTTACCTATGTCAACACATGGCCTGGTGCCCCTGCTAACCAAATAAAACAACTGAATTTATACCTTAGTGTCATCTGAGGCTCTCTCAGACCCCACACCCCTGTCCACTCTGATATAAGGAACTGTGTCACAGAATTGAACATTGTTAGTGGGCAGGTCTCCTGACATCTAGTTGTTAGTTGTTACTAGTTGTTAGTCAGGAGAACCTACTTGTCTGGGAATTCAAAGTAACTCTCCTAGGATCATCACAACTGACAAAACCTGACAGACACCTCAGATCCAGACCCATGTATGGCAGGAAACCCAAGAAGCCCTGGCTTAGCCATGCAAACACAAGACTCCTGGGTTTAATATGATTTAGTACCTTGGCTAGCAGTCTGAACTTACTTACAGTAACACAGACATGTAAATGCAAACACAATTTAAGAGATGTATGGAGAGTGTCAAAGAAAGAGTGACTTCCAAATGATCGTACTTGAGTCTGGCCAGATCCCTGCCTCGACCTGCCTCAGAGGGGTGGAACAACAGATAGAATCAGATGAGGGCTTTCATTGACCCGCCCACCTGAAGTCTTCTCCAGGGAGGTCTGTGTCCTTAGATGGTGGCTCATCTCCCCTCACTGCTATAAAGTGGGAACTCTGAATGAAGGGGTTTGTGCAGTTGTGAATAACAGTTGTTTTCCTGAGGAGGCATGTCAGGGAGGCTCTCGGTAAATATGGACTTGGTGTAGTGAGACAGACAGGCAGACCTAGCAGACCCTTTGGCTTGGGGTACATTAACTGAAAAGACACCCTCTGATTTTCTCTCCCCACCCTGTCCATCCTCAGATTGCCTTGAAGTGTGCTGACATTTGCAATCCTTGTCGGATCTGGGAGATGAGCAAGCAGTGGAGTGAAAGGGTCTGTGAAGAATTCTACAGGCAAGGTTAGTAGATCCCACAACCGAGGCTTTCTTTCCCCTTCTCCTTTTGGGCAATTATCCAAATAAAACAGGAATGCCTAATCTGTCATGACATTTGTTCTTTCATCAACTCTGATTATTCTAATCTTTTTCCTTAACTATCTTGTGAACCATCCAACCAAATGGGAAAGAAAAATTTAAATAAATATCACTGACTGACTATGGAAACAGGTAATAACAAGACATGATACAATGAATGAAATCAAAATATACACACAGCAATATGCACACATGCATATATGCATGTATATGTATGTATGTATGTATGTATGTATGTATGATGGACAGTTTGATTTTTGCCCTGGCCTTCCTTTTAATAAACTGAGCACAGCCGGGTATTGGTGGCACACGCCTTTAATCCCTCCCTCTGCACTCGGGAGGCAGAGGCAGGTGGATCTCTGTGAGTCTGAGACCAGCCTGGTCTCCAGAGCGAGTGCCAGGATAGGCTCCAAAGCTACACAGAGAAACCCTGTCTTGAAAAACCAAAATAAATAAATAAACAAACAAACAAACTGAGCACAGCCTAAAGGCTAAGCACTGTTTGAAGGTCAAGGTCTTCCATTCTGAGAGAAAGATTTAGAACCTTCTGTATACGTTTTTCTCGGGTTCTTAAAGTTTCCAATGAAATAGGTCGAAGTTAGCCAAGAACTGAGTTAAACCATTTGAATATAGTTTCAGCAATAACAAATGTGGATTCTTTTGTGAAAAGACAAATGGCCTTAAGGTAGGGCATAATTTGTCAAAGATTCCTTGCCTTCAGAAGGCAGGCTGTAAATTAGTAAGGAGAATCTCCACATTGGGTGGGATGTAGGCCTTTAAACACAGCCTGTTTCTTCAGGCTGGGTTTCAACATTTGGGATGTTTGTTCAGGCATCAGCAGTGCCCTCATGCTAGTGACAGGATCAGGTTTAAGAGGCTGAGAACAAACACAGCTTAAAGTGTCCCAAAAACCAACTCTGTGGGGAGATCAAACAGCAACAGTGAGCCTTTTGGAAAAATTTACACTGAAAGATGTGTCAATGACATAGTGATGGTTCCGAAGACAGAAGACAAAGGATGGTTGAGTTCACATAGGGCCAGCAGGCTCTGCCCACTGTCACACTCTAGGAATTAAAGTGCTCGTGTAACTCCTATGACTCTGGAATTTCACGTGCCTTCAGCATGAGTCATTAGACGTTAAAAACTCAGTTCTAGTTGACCAAGACATAAAATCTCCACTGAGTTCAGAACAAAAGGAAGCACGATGAAGTTGGAGAGCAGAGAGCTTTTAGAGTAAGTAGGGTAGGTGCTTACATCACTGTGTGATATATAAACTATTGAAACACAGCAGTGGGAGAGAAGGCTAGGACCACAGTGTTGAACATCAGAGTTCTTCTCTGTCCCACTTGCTCTTAATTCAATCGTGCTGTGGTTGGTGTCAAATGAGGTCTAAATTTATTTAGACACTTTATTTAGACTCTAAGCAACTTGGGGCAAGGGTCATAGCACTTGGGCAGACATGGAGTTCTGAATCATAGCTGTTAACTAAGAGAAACTAATGGCACGAGCAATAAGGTAATTTATAAGGTTTGTTGGCAAAGAATGGCCCTAGTAAGATGTATGTATGCAGCACAATACTACAGAAAGACCTAGAATGTTTGCCACTGTAATCACCCCAGAGGACCTTTCACACACACTGAATATCTCCTGACAGACAAAGGAACTGAGGAACAGACCTGTTCCTTTTCAGCTAATAACCTTGCCATCCGGTAGAATTCTAGACTTTGCTCATCCAAATTATCTTTCCTCCATATCGAATGTTTTCTAACTTTATAGGAATGGCTTCTACCATCTTGACTGATCCTATTCTGGATTTCACTTAGGAATCTGGACTCATGACAACTCATCTCACCCTGCCTCTGGCAGTCAGGCTTCTACTAACCATTCTAGATAACTGCTGTTGTCACTATTGCTTTTGTTGCTCTTGTTGTGAGATGGGGGTCACGATATATAACAGAGGCTGATCTCAAAATCACAGACCTCTCACCTCAGGTTCTAGAATGTGGGGGTTGTGAGCATGGACCACTAAGCACAGCTAGGACAAATACATTATGTTAAAAAAAATCCTTTAAATTCAGGTTTCAGACACAGGGGAGAGGAAAATGGTAGCCTATGAATTAGGAAAATGTCAGATCCTCAGGACAGAGAGTCTCCCTACTCTCTGACCCTCAACACTTTAGGAAAGAATTTCTCTACAATTGTGAATATGGATTGAGATCTCCACAATTCCCCTAGTTTTTCAAAAAGTTTTATTGAGTCTCCACCTCTAGCCTTGTGTAATCCTCAGTAAAACTTATTTTTATGTAAATAATTCCACACAGGGGATGTTACAATCACCACAAAGGAATACAGCTGGCTTACACTGTCTACCTCCCAAATGCTAATCAGCAACATCCCAGAGGAGAGACACTGTTTGCTTTTCCTTTTTTTGCTTTCTACATGGACTAGTAGAATTCCTGAAGAATATAAGTGTTTCACACTTATCTGCTGAGAAAGAGAAAGAATAAACCAATCTCACAGGAAGACACGTAACTGTAGAGACCTGTCATGGAAGGTTCACTGCTGCAGATGGTGGGGATTGATCTGGGTTTTGAAGGACATGTGCGGTTCTCCAGTTTCTAATATGATATCTCTAAGGTTCATGTGGCTAGCTAAATTTTAATTAATTGTCATGTAAAAAACATTAAAATTTTAGTTCCTAGTGTGTTGGACACATTTAAGGAGTTCCCAGAGCAGAGTGTGCAGAAAGCATTTCCGTCAATGAAAATGGCGAAGGCACCTGCCACCAAGCCTGACAATGCAAGTTCGATCCCCAGACTTGACATGGTGAAAGGAATCTCCTCCTAATAATTGTGCCCTACCTCCTCTACTCATGCATCATGCACACACACACACACACACAGAGAGAGAGAGAGAGAGAGAGAGAGAGAGAGAGAGAGCGAGAGAGAGACAGAGACAGAGACAGAGGCAGAGACAGAGACAGAGAGACATACACACTCACAGAGAGAGACAGAGACAGACAGACACACACACACACACACACAGAGAGAGAGAGAAAGAGAGTAAATAGATGTGATTTTTTTTAAGTTTGTCCTGCTCTCAGAGTACACCTACTCAAATGAGCCACTGTTAGTGATCATTGATGCCCTGTTGCTTTTACTCTCTTTAGACATGCTCTAAGAGCCAGTGGTCCTAAGGTGATTCCCATGGTGATTCCAAGGGAAGAAACAGTAACCCCCAGAATAATGTCCTCTAACAGGGTCATTAAAGCTGTTGATGCACATTCTATGAACTCTGAATTGACATTCATTTCTTCTTTCTCCTTAGGTGACCTTGAACAGAAATTTGAACTGGAAATCAGTCCTCTTTGTAATCAACAGAAAGATTCAATCCCTAGCATACAAATTGGTGAGTTGAAATCTGGGTTTATTTAAAATGAATAGCTTGGCACATCTACAGGAATCACAAAATGATAATGATGATAATGATGATGATGACGACGACAACGACAACAACAACACAACCTTCCAGAGATCTAAATGGCTGGGCAAACAAAGACTTTAATCATGACTGATCTTTTAGATAATTCTCAACTGAGAAATTAAAACAATTAAGGTCTGGGTTTGTTAGACTCTCAGCTACCTTAATACTAAGTTACAGTATTAACATTGTGATTTAGGATAGAATAAGAATCAAGAGCGGCCCTGTAGTACACACCTATAACCATTAAAGATCACAAATTCAAATCCAGTATAGACTAATAGAAAATTCAAAGTCAGACTGAGCTGCATAGTAAGACTCAATCTAAAAAGTTCAGAAGGTAGCCCAGACAGCGCTTGCATGCAATGAGCAAGGCTCGGGATCCATCCTGAGCAGTACAAAAAAAACAGGATCCATGGGCTAGAGCAATGACTTGGTTGGTAAAGTGTTTGCCGGCCAAACTCCAGATTCACTAAGAGACCATCTCAAAAGATACAGAGGAGTGGGTGGGGAGTTGGTTCAGTCAGTAATGTACCTGCCTCACAGGACAACAAGCATGAAGACCTAAGCTTAGATCCCCAGAACCTGCATAAGAACCAGGCACAGAAGCCAGTAATGGGGAGTATCAAAGACAAAATGATCCCTGAAGCTCATTGGCCAGCCATCCTAGCTGAATTAATGAGCTTCAAGTTGGGTGGAACTCCCTATCTCAAAAGAACAGTGGCTGGATAAATGGCTCAGGAGTGAAGAGTGTGTGACTCTCTTGCAGAGGACCTGAGTTTGGTTGTTAGCACCCATGTCCAGTGGCTCCCAATTGTCTCTGTGGGCACATGCACTCACATGCTAATACCTAAACACAAACACACATACACACAAGTAAATTCAAATAAAACATATATTTTTAATTTAAAAAAAATAAAGGTGGAGGACAATCTTTGAAAAACACCCAGTGTACCTCTGGTTTCCACATGCACATACACATGCACATATGCATGTTTACATGCGCACACACATGTAAACACGTGCACACATGCATATATTAATGCGCACAAATTCACACGCATGCACCCAAATACATGCACACATGCACATACATACAAAACACATATATATGCACATGCATCAACACACATGCAAACACACACACACATGTACACACATCACACACACCAAAGATAAGTAAGTAATAGTAATAAAGGAGAGAGCATCTGACAAAGACACCCATCATTAACTTTTGGATTCCAACTGCATGCACTCGTAGCGTACACATTCACGCACATAAGCAACCATGTGCACACTAAAACTTACCACATATATAAACAATAGACTCTAAGTCAAATTAATTAGCCATTCACAGTATCTTCAGGGTACCCTTCCCAAGTAAGTTAAGTGCCTTAGCATCCTTTCAATGTGGGTCCTTACTCTTTATCCACAAAAATTACTTCCAAGGGCCTGGTTCCTAGGCTTAAGATCCTAGAGCCCTACTGTCCCCTTGTGGCCACATGTCAGCATTTCTCCTCTCTCCACTTTAAAACCTATTTCAGTCATGTTCTCATAAAACCATACTTTCTTCCAAGTGTCAATTGTCATAAACTCTTCAAGTATGTTTTCAATGCATCCAGAATGGTTATTACTTTATCTAATCACATTACACATAATATCTTCATGCAAATCAAGTGGCAAAATTTTACTTCCTCACTTTAGTGAAGGATATTTTTTTGCTCTACATTTTAAACCACTAATTCCTTCTCTATGTAAAGTTAGCCTTTTCTTCTCCTGGAAGCGCTTCCATTGAAACCAAACAAAACTTAACAAGCTCCATACTTGACATCTAGCTGTTCGAAGCTTTGCACCTGTTCCCACAGACTCCAAACAGGCCATTGCATCCATAGGGTTGCAAGTCTCAAAGCTCAGCGCCTTGGTATTGGGAAAGAGAGCAAAGCTCAGCTGAAAATGAGAGTGTGTTAGAATGTCCTGATGACAATTATGGAGAGAGAGAGAGAGAGAGAGAGAGAGAGAGAGAGAGAGAACAACAAAGTAGGGGGCAACTCAGAAACCAGCCTCAGCTTCCTTGAGTCCAGCCCTGCTTTATGCTTTAGTTATGAGGTTTTATAGGTATGGTTCCTAATTCTGAGACTCCCTATATTAAACTCAGAATCTTGCCAGGTTACTGTTTTGAGTGACACTTTGAGTCATACACTTCCCAAATAAAAACCTTTACACTGCTAATCATACAGCCTAGATCTGGAAGTCAGGGCTGATTTCAGAATTCTGTCCTGTTACTGTCATGAGAATACGTGTATTTTGTATCATCATATGCCCTGGTTTTCAGCCTAGTAATACGTGGTTGCCATAGATACTGCCTCTAAAATGGAATGGGTATTGAATGAAGGGGGGAACTCCTATGGCTACTACATGAGAATAATAATAATAAAGAGAAAGAGAAGGTGATTATAAAGCAACACTCAGTTCATAAATCTTTCCCTGCTACACATCTGCCAGCTCTTACAGGTCCAGGTCAGGAAGTGTGACAAAGTAAGCCAGAATAAATTGGAAAAAAGCTAAACTGATAAAGGAGTTAGCAAATGCTGCAAGCTCTGGTCCACACCCACCGGATCCTATACAATGTGGCTATTTTCTGTCTTCAGAATCCCCCAGACTTAGGTGTCTGTTCTCATCTTCTTCTTGCTGTGTATGGCTATTTTGTTGATCAATAGAGAAGAAGCCTATTATAACCTTTTATTTTTCTTTATTTTTGAAAATTCAATACATGTATGCAATAAAATATGATCATACCTGCCCCTTATCTCCTCCTCCATCACACACATACCAACTTCATAGCTTTTATTTTATGACCCAAGTCCAATTAGTGCTGCCCATATGTGCATGGCTGTGGAACCATTCACTGAAGCATGGGAAACCTACCAGTGGTTATATCCTTAATAAAAAATTATTCTCCCTACCCCAGCAACTATCCACTCCCAAAAGCAACTCAGTATGAGTAGGGCCAAAGGTCATCTACCCATGTATGCACGGATTACACGAGGCTTGACTTTGTATACATCTTGTGTGGGTATCCACGCTGCTGAGTTCATGATTTGTGGTAGCCATGTCATGTCCAGAAGATGGCATCTCCCGGCACCTCCCCCCATCCTGATTCTTACATTCTTTTTGTGTCCTATCCCACAATGCTCCCTGAGCCTTTGGGGATGAGAGAGTGGGCTAATATGATGTCTTTCTCATTTAGTGTTGAAGACTCAGTCTCTTCTTCTTAGCACTTTGACTATGCCTTTCTCCACTGACTGCTGCCCACTGACGAAGGAAGCTTCTCTCACCAAGGTCTAGAGCAGCCCAGACCTACCAGTATAAACAGATATTTAGAAGACAATTTGACTGCATGAACATTAGCAAAACAATAAGTTTTACCCTAGGGCCCATGGCGTCTGTAGCCATGAGCTTTTGATTAGAATCCAATACCAAACAAGAAATTCTTTCCTGTGGAACAGGCCTCAAATCCAATCAGAAAGCAGTTACTTAACTCATAACATGCATGCCTCTGGTGTGCCGAAAGGCACATCTTGTCTAGCAGGTCAATATCCCAGCAAGCAGGGTCCAGCACTGGGTAAAGACAACAATCTCATTTCTCCAAAGCAGCCTGCCTAATAACCTTCTGGTACACTGAAAGCTAGCCATCAAGGAGGAAGTTTCCCGGCTAGTTTGAGGTTTCTCTTTATTTTACATCCAAATTGTGTGGTATCTTTAGCAATAGAGTCCTCTATGTAGTTGTGGTGGGTAACCATGAACAATGCCAATACCCACAGGGTTCCAGAGACCTCTAGGTCATATTCCATGACTTGTACTGCAAGCAGTGCCCACCCATGCAGGGCAATTCCATTCAAACTCTCTCTCTCTCTCTCTCTCTCTCTCTCTCTCTCTCTCTCTCTCTCTGTAAGTTGTATTTTGAAATTAGACTGCTAACAAATGGGTTCCCATGTGACTTTTTCATATACCATTAATTCTGGTTACGACATCCCATTATCCCCTTTCTTTGTTCCATCTCCCCAAAAGATGGCTCAGTGGTGAAAGTGTGTCTAGAGCAATCTCTACCTCTCTCTTTCCTATTCCAACCCAAAATGAGATATCCCCAAGTCTTAGGTAGAGTTGATTTTCCGCAGAAGTAGTTCATATTTGCCCAAAAGGAAGTAGCACTCCCCCACTTCCTCCACACTTCTTCATTCTCTCTCCCCTCTCTCATCATTTATAAAAGATAGGAAATCAAATTAATCTCTGGTGGGATCTATAGGAAGACAAAGAAAAAAAGGTTTCCCTCAACCTGCGTCCCCTAAAAAGCCACTAACCTCCCCTTCCCTTCCCCTCCCTCCCCTCTCCTCCCTTCCCCTCCCCTCCCCTTCCCTTCCCTTCCCTTCCCTTTCCACCACACCAGAAGGACAATGTTACCCTGGAATTACCTCTGATTTGTGCTGGTCTCCTGTGAAGAGTAACATCAGGGAGGAAGGAGTTGAAATTTTTTTAATGTTGAATCTGTAACTGTTCTACTTAGGAAGTGGCACTTTCTGGAAATCACACTTTGAATTTAAAAGACTATCATTTTGCATTTTTAAAAAAAAATGTCAAATGACTAAATTCAAGAGTAGCAAGTACCAAGGAAAAGCCTCATTGTTTACTCTCTAATTGCCTAATTAGGATGACCTGATCAGACATAAAATCACCAACCTAAGAGTCTTTCATCGTGAGTTTGGGTCATCTCAATAAGATAGCACAAGATTTAAGTCATATTCACATAACACAACCGAGAAATGCACAGTAACATTTTACATTGCTGCCTCCTTCCCCCATCTCCCTAGGATTGCCACCGGCCAGATGTCTGCTGTTTGTCCGATAAAAGCATCAGACCGTCTTATAGTTCATGTGCTTATAAATATTAGTTGCTGGAAAATTATTACACACACTCACAAAAAAATTTGCTGTTTTCCTCATGTTTCCATTTCAAGGAAGTACAATGAAGCCTAAATAAATCCAAGTTTATGATAATTCCAAATATTCCACACTATACAGAAAGTTACTTTGTTTGAGAGATCATGTTTAATGTGGAAAATACATTAACAATGAGACAGGATTAGACCACAATGAGTATTTGATGATTAAAAGAACAGATACTTTATCTGGATGTCAGTGTAGAATCCCATATCCCCAGCACTCTGGGGGTTGAGACAGGAGGGTCAAGATGAGTTCAAGACCAGCCAAGCTGCATAATGAAACCCTGACAGGAAGGGGGTTTGGAGAAACTAGGAAGTCTAACATCAAACAGTTGTCTGCAGTCACTAAAGCAGAATTTCTTTTGCAGATAAAAATCTCTATCAACGGGTTGGGCATGTGCCAAGTTCTGGGTTCAATCCTAGCTAGCACTGTTTTGTTTTGTTTTTTTAAAATCTGTGTTATCAATGCATGTTTAGAGCTGGGTGTGCTGGCATCTGCCTATAATCTCAGCATCCATCCGAGAGGCACAGGCAAGAGGCCAGCCTACTCTACATAGCAAGATCTTGTCCAAAAAAATAAAATTAAAATAAAATAAAAACAAAACACCACTCATCCTGATGTTGTTGAAGGCGAGACAACACTATAAAAATAATAATCTCAAAAAAAGCATCCCTCCAGGTAACCAGAATGAATTATAATTATGATATAAATCCCTGCTGTTGCTACATTTGTTTTCTCCTCCCCTCTCCACCTTCCACACTTTTTTCTTTTTTGCCCCCCCCTCCCTCCGTCCTGCCCCCCTCTCTCTCTCTCTTTCAATAACAACAGCTAATGTTCATTACTTAGTCGGGAGCTTTAACCACTTAACTTGTGATAAGTCATTTACCACAAGAACGCAGCGAGCTTGGTTAGTATTCAGTTCCTTTCACAAATATGGAGCCTGAAGTACGAGAATCATTTAAGTGGGAGCCACCAAACTAAGGAGAGTGACCCTATCTTGTTTACCCACCTATCCCTGGCCGCGTGCACTGTGGATCTCAGTCGATCCCCTTGTGATGGCCTCACCTGTGACCTTGCATGTTGCAGGTTTCATGACTTACATCGTGGAGCCGCTCTTCCGGGAATGGGCCCGGTTCACCGGGAACAGCACCCTGTCGGAGAACATGCTAAGCCATCTCGCACACAACAAAGCCCAGTGGAAGAGCCTGCTGTCCAAGCAGCACAGACGCAGGGGCAGCGGCCAGGACTCCGCAACCCCTACATCTGAGACCCTGGAGCAGACAGAAGGCGCCACGCCCTAAGACAGCCGGGTCTGCAGAAGCAAGGCCATCTGACGGCCCTCGCCACAAACCCACCACTCTGGGCTTCGAATGCCACCCGCCTGCCACTTACCCCCTCCCTTCGTTGATCCAAGTGTACAGAAGCCATTGTCACCTCAGCATTAGCTGCTGAAATCAGCAGCTTTGTCCTGTCCGGAGCTCCGGGCAACTGCCCCAACGGAAAAGACCAGGAGTAAGAAAGAGGTGCTTCTGCCGGGTCCTCCTCTGGCCCGCCCTTGGTCACACTGACTGGCAGTGGCTCCTAAGTCCAGAGCATTTTAGGGTTCACCGTCTGACTGCTGACCTGCATGACAACACCAGCATACTTGGAACTGCAAGATTGGTCTTAAGTGCCAGAGCACAAACGAGAGTGAGAGAAAGTACCTTCTATTTTAATAATAATTATTATTATAAAATAATAATGAATCTTTTTAACTTTTATATTTCATGCACCAGACAATGGGTCTAAAACTTTGGACTAAGATTACTCAGTGTACCCAAACCTGAAGAGGGGGTTCATTGTTTTGCTATTGACTCTATGCCACTTTTAGTCAGAGATTTGGCATCTTTGCGATTTATAAAACCATTGTTTCCCCTCCCATCTGGTGGAAGGTGCTGTACAGTTCATTCCTTTGCACCGCTAGCCAATCTGTCTTTTATGGATTCAGTGACCTGTTTATATTCACATGTGTACATTTTCTGTAAATACCAAACGCTACTGATTCCCATGCCAAAATACACAAGTATTATGGGATTGCTACCTGTATAAACAATGGCACTGTGAACAGAATACTATTAGTTTTAATACAAGAGAATGCATTTGTAAATATGGTATAGAGTTTATTAATATACTGTTGTTCGCAGATAAAGGCCTTAACTTTAAACATCTTCCCTCTTCCCAAAGTTGCCCATCCTAAATCTTTGCAGATGTCTTTCTGAACTACCTGCCCCCAATGGCCGTCTCTCTGCGTTCCTGCTAAGGTCACAAGCCAAAACTGAGTATCATCTTGGAGGGAACTTGGCAGGGGGGCTTCTTGTGCATTCCTCTTGAGACCATAGTTTTTAGTCTATGGCACCAAGTGTGGTTTCCTTAGAATAGCGACACCCTCTCAGCAAAATGGAAGTCACTTTCCAGTGCAGCAATATTGCACACTGTTTTAACAAGCCAGCCGGTAAGCTTGTGTTTATGTGACTTCTGTTATGGAACACGGGGTACATCAACCTCCCAGGAGACAGAGCAGGTCTCAAAAGCCTTTTATGACCCTGTCATCTACCATCAGGGAACTCCCTGCTCCACGATACACATTTGTCTGTTATGGCTAAAATACCAAAGTCCCTTTGGTCCATGGTTGATTGCTGTGCATTTCTTTGGTGTTGATAATAACTGGATATTTCTTCTCTTCTATAGCTTCATGTGAATAACTGCCCAACCATTTAGCTGAATTTAACATTATTTAAGAAAAGAAACTATTCCAGTTTTATAAGAGACTTTACCTTCCTAGCGGGTCTTTGTGGTTCATTAGGCTGTAACCAGCAGAGTCAGCTTGGGATTCTGTTGCTGTTCTTCTATAGATACTTGGCTGTAAAATCTACTGTGCTCCGGCATTCTTACACAAGCTCTGTGCATTGAACCTTTTTTTTTTTTGTAAGTTGTAGCATAACTAATGGTAGATGGGAACTGCCTGTACCCCCCTTCCTCTTTACCTAACGTGTAGTGGGACAGAAGCATTTCTGTCATGATCAAGCCACTTTTCTCAAGCTGATGGAGACAGCTAGCTCTCTAACTGCAACTGATATGGGTCTTCCAGCTTCTCCTAATAATACAAGTGAAATGTTAAAAGCTTGACTGTCCTGGAATATGTTCTTACAGAGAGATTGGGGCTTGCAGACTTGAGGTTTTGGAGGGAATTGGAAAGCTGATTATATTTTCACTGAAGTAGGCAAGATTGTCAGAGGGGAAGGGCTAAAGTGTGAAGAACTTATGGAATGTGTGGATGATGCATTGAAATTCCTGATGTGGGTAAGAGGGGAAGTTGTGTTAACTTAACACTAACTGTTGTTTTCTGCAGCAGCTATGAACTGACTTATGTTTCTTAGCTGCTATGGTATTCTGAAGCTCTGAGTGACATGTGTTTCTTATATTTTTGGTTGTGAGCCTAGCCTTTAACTGATGAGCCATCTCTCCAGCCCTGACATATGTTTCTTAGTTGCTATGCTTTCTAAAGCTCAGAGCTTAAGCAAGGCCTCAAACAAGATGGAGGGATACAGCAGATAGATTCTTGCTTCAAACCCTCTCTTTTGGGGGCTTTAGTAGCCTGGCTTTATGCAAGTAAAACAATTGCTCAGGATGACAAAACAGAAATAGTAAAGAAAACATTGTTTTTAGTCAATGAAATCTCTACCTTGCATTGAGGAACTAGAATTTGCTTAAGTTATAATTATATTGTGATTTAATTAGGATGGGACATTCTTAGTAGTTCCAGGTTTAGAGGGGAAAGGTCTTCAAGTTGCAATTTAGTCTTAAAGAGGAGTTAACAAACAAACTACCAAATATCCAATGGTTAAGACACAATCATAATGAAAATCAGAAGTAAAGTGAGGCATGATGCATAAATGCACGAATAAATGACACATAGATGCACCTTTCTTGTTCTACTGTCTAGAACTTCTTGAGCTCCACATTTGTTTTGCAGAAACTAAAATAAATAATAACTGTGAAAACTCTTCTTTTTGCCTGCTAATGGCTCTCTTGGAATAATTTAATCAAGTTGTCCAATGAGCAGTGGAGACATGGCTCTTGATCCATGTATCACTTTCAATAGCTTTCAAATCTTAATCTGCTAGCCACCTAGCTCATGTTTAATTCCTTCATTGCTTGGAAATTAAGAACTCAAAGAACTATGTTTTAGTAAGCCAAAGTCAAGATCTCAGAGAGAGAGAGAGAGAGAGAGAGAGAGAGAGAGAGAGAGAACATGAATACATCACTGCCAGGCATGATAATCAGAGCCTACCTTTTTTTGCAGTCATTGAATAAACAATCAGACTTGATATGTGAAACCCTGCCAACCCATAGTTCCCCGTTAGGTTAAGTAAAAAATTAGCTATTTCTCCCTCTCCCCCTCATTGCTTACAGCTTCCCACAAAGAGCCTTGGAGCACATCTGCAACCCTGTCTTCAGACAGTCCTTCCTCTAAAACACAATTTTGTGACCTTTTGTGTTGAGTCAGATATGCTCACTGACTTCCATTTGGTTATGAGCTTGTATCTCACTGTATTCCTCATGCTTTGTTCTTTTAAGAGCCCATACAATTGTGTCATCTTGTGTACACATGTAAAGTTTGAAAAAAAAACTTGTGTGTTTTGATCAAAATGTGATCTAAATATTCATTGGCATGTCTATCCAGATGAACACTCAAAAATAAAGATAATTTCTTTAAAATATCATAGTATTAAAAATATTCTGATTCTCTCCCCCGCCCCTCAAGTAACACATCACCAGCCTACCAAATGGGAATGTTCCTGTTAGGTAATATTCAAAGTGCATGGTTGTAAACATGATCTGTGTGACTCCTTCCCGTGGGGCTGCAGAAATGTCTATCCGGATAAAGACATCACTTACTCCTCATCTATCACCAAGTGAGGGAAGCAGACTATACATACGTAGGTTCTGCATTTTGCCAGAATCCTCTGTTTTTCTGATTCACACTTCTCAGGTGCACATATGAATGAGGATAAAGTCTACCATTATACATGTAGTCTCCATACCCATCTTATTTAGATTGTTATTCAGAATCCCACTGATTCCTGAATGCCTCCCCACGTGAATGCAAAACTACTTTTCAATTGTGGACATCTTCAGCATAAAGTCAAGACCAAAAGAGAGAGCAGAGTGACATCGAGGGAAGGTCAGACACAATCTGGGCAAGCATGGAAACCAGGATGAAGCTGTCAAGTAGGTGAAACATGTGAGCAACTAAAGTGTAATTCAATACTGGCTGAGGAACTACAACACACCTGAAGCTGTGTGGCATATCAGTGTCTACAAGGACTTCATCCTTCCAGTAGGCTCTGACTTGTGCCGAAGAGTCATGTTACCAGGGACTGCTTTCTTCTTTTTTGTTTGTTTCTGTGGTGCTCTCTTTGGTTTCTTTGAGACAGAGGTCTCATTCTTTAGTCCAGTCTGCTCTCAAACTGATAGAAATCCACCTGCTCTCCCTCCTGAGTGAAGGCTGGATTAAAGCATATGCCAGCACACAGGGTGCTTCTTAAAGATTCAGTGTCGGGCAAATGAACCTGGAGCTCAAACACTAGAGAAAAATAGGCTTCTGGGACAGAAATGAGTTTCAGTCCCAGTGCGGTGAATAATAATCATTCCAAAATTGTTTCCAAACCATAAGACTTGCCCTATTACTGCTGTGGCAATTAAAAGAGATTGCAAACAGGAACTTATTGCAAATTCTGTACCAACTACAGCCTGCTTTTATGGGTAGTTCCACAGATTCTAGAGTAAAAGGCAACTGTATCTTTGCAGTTCTTCAAAAATGTTCTGTGAAGAAAAGGGTTCCTCAAAACAAAATAATCATTGGTTCCCACTGTATATGACTATGCTTCCAAAGTCCTAATTCTCGCTGGTGATGGCTCTGGTCCACTGTGTCAGGCCCTGAAAGTATGGGAAGTTTTTTTATGACAGCCACGGGAACATCCATGGCTCTGCACCTCCTAAGAGGCACCAGGTTCACACCACTCAACACATGTTGAAACATATTCTCAGCTATTGCCTCTTATCTTTCCTACAACATTACATAAGCACCTCTTAACATCTCATCAGAGAAAAGATTCCTGCTTCCAGGGGAATGCCACACACAGTCAACTATTTGAGTAATGACTAAATAAGGACCTTCTTGGCCACAAAGCAGTCCACAATAGGGCTTTTTGTTTTCAATTAAGCCAGAGAGATAGTTAGGGGGTGGAAATAAGTTTAA